CGCTCACCGCAGGCCTGCCCGTAGGCGCTCGCTTGCACGAAGAGCACGTAGAGCGGCGGCGGCAGGTGCCGCGCGATCTCGTACTGCTTGTGCGCCTGGTCGAAGGGCATGAACAGGTACTCCTGCACCGGCAGCGACGCCTGCGGGGACACCAGGGACAAGCTCTGTGGCTGCCACCGGGGCTGCCCTCCTCACCCACTCCTTCTGGGAGCCCAAGAAGGCTGAAAAGCAGCAGGCCAGGGGCAAATCATGACCACAGCGAGTCCCCAGGGGAGGCCTCGCTGCTCTCCCTGCTGGAAAACATTCATATCCGAGTCTAACCCAACCCCATTCCCACTGTGCCCCTCCACAGCAGCCACGAGGGGCTGGAGGAGACAGGCCCATTTAACCAACCCTTGTGCTGCGGCTCTGCAGGGACAAGGAGKCTGCGGAGCCAAGCTGGAGAGCTCCTAGGGAAAGGCAGAGCGCTCCCGCGCTGCAGGGCCGGCCCTCACCTGCATGATGCTGTTGAGCCGGGGCTGCAGGCTGCTCAGATATTCCTTCTTCACCTCAATCTCCTTGAGGATCTTCTCCTTGTTGGCCAGACACTCCTTGTATTTCTCGGCCAACCTGCGGGTGGGAGGTGGGTTACTGGCCTACGTGGGCAGCGCGGAGCCCGCTCTGCTGCCAGCCCCAGCTCTCCGGTCCCGAAACATCGCCGCAGGAACCAGGAGAGCTCAGACACCGCCGGGCAGGGAGCAATCCCAAGGGCARGAAGAGACAGTTACTCGCTAGCACGGGAGAATAAACGGGCAGAACAACTGGGAGCTCAGCAGGGCTGGGAGCAGGGAGCACAGCCAGGCCTCTTCCTGGCCCTTCCCCAGCAGATCTGCTCCCACACTGGCCTCTGCTGATGCCAACAGCCTCCTCCGCCCGGAACCACGGCCACGTTCGCGGCCTCTGCGGGTCAGCTTGGCGACAGGGAGGGTTTGGGCTCCGCCAGGAGCCTCCCTCGCCTGGCGAGGCCGTTAGCCCCAGTACAGCCCAGCACGACCAGCAGCCTCCCACCAAAGGCGGCTGAAACCCAACCTTGTGGTCACCACCCCAGCTGCAGGGGACACCCCCGGCTCCCACAGCCCGGACAGCACCCAGCCCACCGACGCCAGCAGCTGCCGTGGGGCTTTGGGAAGCCACCTGCCCCTGTCTCGAGGGGAGCCCCGAGGCAGGTGACACCCGACGGCGCGGGGACAGCGGCTGGGACGCGGAGCCCAGGGCGGCCCTCACCGCTTGCGCTGCTCCAGCTCCCAGTCGAGGCGGGCCAGGGTCTGCTGGTGGGGCTCGCCCAGCGTCACCGCCGGCCGGCTGATCTCGGCCGGCGCCTCCCGGTAGAACTCCTCCACGCTCACCAGCTCGATCTCCTCGTGCTTCGACCTGCGGCACAGGGACGGCACCGGGAAGGGCAGCGAGCGCTGCGGGGCTCCGCTCCGGCCCTCACAGCGGGAAAACCCCAACGGGCGGCACCAGGGCAGGGAGACCGGCCCCGGCTGGGCGCTCCCGTGGTGGTGACACCTTCCCCTCCCTGCCCGGCCCCGCACGGGGACACTGCGGCCACATCCCAACCCTCGAAGCCTCCGCCGCTTCCGGAGCCGGCTGCTCCTCGCCGGCCGCGCTCACTTGAACTCCAGGCACTTGGTGATCTCCTTCTGCAGGTGCATCACCTCGTAGAGCAGGTTCTGCAGCTGCAGGTGATAGGCGTCCACCTTCTGCTTGGCCTGAAAGGCGAGCGCGGGCGCTGACCCCAGCGGCACTGCGGGGCGGTGACACAGCCCCGGTGCCGGGCAGCGCCCGGGGAGGGAGCCTGCTGCCCGTACCCCAGCCGGCGCAGGCTGCTCCCTACCTCGTGGGTCTGGTCTCTCCCTTTCTTGAGGCGGATGTGAGCCAGGCGGTTGAGTTTCTTGAGGGTCATGAAGTGCACGCAGCTCTGGACGCGCCGCTCTTCTATCTCGGAGGCCTGGGCGCGGGAAGCAGCGGCGGCGTCGGGACAGGCCCCGCACGGCGGCAGCCCCACGCGTGCG